TATACAGTCTTAAAAATTACAAGCCTAGAAAATGTGATGGATTTCAGTGTTGCCTTTTAAAACACATCATACCACTTGAATCTTTAACAACTGAAGTCTGTATTTTGTCCTGTTTTCAGCACAGATGTCAGATGTTCGTAGCTGCGAGATCAGAGAGAGAGAGAGAGAGAGAGAGAGAGAGAGACTCTTATACAGTCTTAAAAATTACAAGCCTAGAAAATGTGATGGATTTCAGTGTTTCCTTTTAAAACACATCATACCACTTGAATCTTTAACAACTGAAGTTCTGTATTTTGTCCTGTTTTCAGCACAGATGTCAGATGTTCGTAGCTGTGAGATCTTTAATAAGATGTGTGGTTGCATCTATACCACCCAAAGCTTCTCAGCGATGCTGCTAGGCAGTATATGCTGGAAGTTTTGAGCCCTGAAAGCATTGCTTCTGAGTAAGGTTGCCAAATGTAGGTGAGAAAACCACTCGTAGCCAATAAAGCCATCTGGAACTGAATCTTCCTCTACCGTTACCTCATGGGAAGAATAAAGCGAATCACCCCAAAATCAAGATCTGCCAACATCCTGGTATATTTATCCAGATCAGAAGTTGGCTCTTTCAGGGTTTTCCAAATTCTTGGGTATGCAATTATGAGTCATCACACAGAGATAATCTAGGTGAGTACACCTGTGCAGATTCTTTTCTGGAAGCCAAAGGATGTTGGAAAATTAAATCTGTTCATGGCCATAATTTTAAATTCTACTACCATTAACTTCAAATCTCGCTTCACAGTTTCCTACTTACTTCACCTGATAATTTATATCCTACCTACATATCACAGTCTGTTACTACAACAAAATAGGCAGGGTCAAGGTCCCAAACAAAACACTGGCCAAGTTCTTGAAAAAGTCAGAAGATGAACTTATTTCATCCCAGAGATTTCATATATATGATATCTAAATTGAGCCCTCATGATGTCTATCTCATACTGAAATGTTCTGGTTTGAACATGTACTGCTTCTATTCTAGGGACACAGTAGAGGTAAAAATTGATTATCTTATACCATTTTTCCAGAAACCATTTCATAATTCCCTGAACACTGAGAACAGCAAGCCTCAACCCTAGATGCACACTAAAACCACCTGAATAGTCTGTGAAAACATACTGGTTCCTGGATCCTGTCCCTAGAGGTCTTGATTACATTTTGACATGGGACACAGGGAAGGGGGATTGTTTTGTGTTTTCAAATTGACAAAATGAAATTGAGAACTACTGTTCTAAAATATTGCTGTGTAGGAATGACTTTTATAAACGGACATCATCTGGACCAATGACTTTTAATTGACCCCAGCAAAACCATGTACTCTTGTGTCTTGTCACCTAATCTCATTTCCTAGGTAACCTCAATTTGTTACTCCACCCAAAAAGATAAGGAGTGAATGAATGAATGAACGAATGACTGAATGAATGTGGATATGCTTGAGAATTAACATATTAAAGTATTGAAAGGCAGCACATCCATCTCTACTGCACATGGAGGAGGTTTTGAAGAATGATTGACCTTGAATGAATGAGATACTCTAGAACTAGAAATGAAAAGGCCAGATGGTCTGTTAAGATTAGGGTGGAGCCCAAGCTTGTTCTTCTCCAATCA